ATGATTCTTGAGTAAATTAACTCACCCCATCAATTTTCCATACTAAATAAGAGGAAACAAAAACCCATAAAAAAAATGAAAAATGTTGTCTCGACCCTGTAATTTCACTAGAACAAGCAGATTGTAATCTGAATCAACCGAAAATATCGTTCGTAGGTGTGCCTGCGTGAAACCGGTGCAAACAGGAAGTGGAAATGTGTTTCGGCATACCGTTTTCGACATTATCGTATGTGCGTTTTACGCAACGATAATAGTGTGAACTTGGCCCTATTTTTCCCGATTATGACGTTTTTATTGAATACGAAATCGTGGAAGGAACGAAAATGTTACGTGAGAATGATCCATAGTGTCTCGTTGTATTTTGAAATACACGAAAAAAGATGAATGATCAGAATTAGTTTATGTTCTACGGTTTATTATTAAAAAGAAAGGCTTGTTAAAGATATGATAAGATGACAATAATGACTATAGAAGAAAGAATGGAATAATAGGACACACTGGGAAAATTAACATTGGAAATGTATATCTCAGTCGATTTTGCTTATATGGGATTTGTAAATGAGGAAAACTTGCTTCAAACGATGTTTATATTCAAACAAGAAAATGATGATGGAAAAGATAGACAAAATGAAGCAGCAAGGTAAAGAGAACAATGAAGGAATTTATCTTAGTAATTGATATAGTAAATCAGTAGTTCATATCGAAAAAATCTTAAGGATCTTTAAATTTCGGTTTTTTATCGGTAGTTTCCAAGGGGTGGAGAACTGGTCAAAATCCGTGTACAAATTGGTCAAAATCCCAGAAAATCTCATAAAACCTACTCAAAATCCCTAAAAATCTTTGAAATCCTTAAAAATTTAACAAAATCCCACAAAATCTCTTGAAATTGCATAAAATCCTACAAAATCTAACAAAATTTCATTAAAACCAAAAAAATACTGCAAAATCTCATAAAATCGTCAACATTCCTAAAAAATATTTCCTTTGAAATTCCCAGAAATCCTTTGAAATTCCCAAAAATCTCTCAAAATTCCATAATTTAGTGGAATTTCGAGGAATTTCGGTAGAATTATGTTATTCTGAAAAAGGAATTACATTTAAAATTTTTGCGGAGTTTCCATAGAATTCACATTAAATTTTAGTTCCTCTCGAATGACATGAAATTTCAGTGAAATTTCGATCGAATTACACGAAATCCTAAATGAATTGCATGGAGAAATTCTAAACAATTATATGAAATTGCACCGAAATTCCCAACATGAAATTTTAGTAAAATTCTAGAAAATTCCACAAGTGGAATGCCGGCTAAAAACATGGAATTTTGATGATATTCCGAAAAATTCCCATGAAATTTCAATATATTTCGGTGAATTTTCAAGAAATTACTTTGAAGTTTCATTGATATTCCCCGAAATTCCTGGCGATTAAACGTAAATTTCAGTGAAATTCCGAAAAATTCTTTTGAAAATAAATGAAATTTTGAAAAATTCCTTGAAATTTGATTGGACTTCCGAGAAATCTTCGGCTATGAACGCGGAATTTCAAAATATCCTCATAAAATTTTAGTGGATTCCGACGAATTTTTGAGAAATTTTGTGGAAATCCAGGATAATTTAATGGTGAAGTTTTGGGGAATTTCAGTAAAGTTAAAAAAAAATAAAAATTATTTATATCATTTTGAAATTGAAAGTTTAGTGGAATTCCGAGGAATTTCATGGAATCCTATACTGTAATTCCGAAAAAAGTTTGTCAAAGAATTCCATAAAATCGTCTGGTGAATGTTTAGGAATTTCTATGGAATAACTTGAAATTTTCGCGGAATACCTATGGAATAACTTGAAATTTTTTAATGAAATTCCGAAGAATTTCATGAAATCTCATAGTGTAATTCCGAGGGATTTTTTTGCACGAATTCCATTAAATTTTATGATTCCATTGAATCTTATGATGAAATTCGGAAAACTATTATGAAATCTTGTAGTAAAATTTCTAGGAATTTACGTTTTTCCATTCAAATTTATCACCTGAATGGAAGGAATTCCATAAAATCTTCTGGTGAAATTCTGAGGAATTTTCGAAGGAATTTCTATGGAATTGACTAAAATTTTTGCAGAATTCCCATGAAATAACTTGAAATTTAAGTGGAATTTCGAAGAATTTCATGAAATCTTACATTGTAATTCCGAAGAAAAAAAATTCCAAAAATGCCATTGAATTTTAGTTCCTCTCGAATCACATGAAATTTCGAGAAATTACATGATATTTCAGTGGAATTTCGATCGAATTACATGAAATCCTGAATGAGTTACATGGAGGAATTCTAAACAATTACATAGAATAACACCGAAATTCCCAACATGAAATTTCAGGGCTCGTTAAATTACATAAAGAATTTTAAAAAAGTTTCAAAAAATTACATGAATTCCGAGGAATTTTCGTCGAATTATATGGAGCTCCGATGCAATTACATGGAATTCCAAAGAATTATCAGGGAATTACATGAAATTTAAGTGGAATTTTGAACATCTCTTATCGTTTCATAAGGAATTCCAATGAAATTCCGAACAATCCTAATATAATTAGGTACATGAAGTTTTATTTTTATTCCAAGGAATTCCCAGTTAAAAACATGGCATTCTAGTGAAATTGAAATTCCGAAAAATTCCCATCAAATTACTGAATTTGATTGAAATTAGAGAAAATTTCACAAGTGGAATTCCGAGGAATTTCCGACTAAAAACTTGGAATTTCGGTGAAATTTGAAAAAATTCCCATGTAATGATATGAAATTTCAATATATTTCGGAGGAATTTCGGTGAATTTTCAAGAAATTACTTGAAGTCTCATTGATATTCCCAGAAATTTCTGACTATTGAAAGAGAATTTCAATGAAATTCCAAAAAATTCTTATGGAAATAAATGAAATTTTGAAAAAAATTTGGAATTTCGAGAAATTTTCGACTAATTCCACGTATTTTCAGTGAAATTTCTAAAAATTCTCATAAAATTTTAGTGAAAGAGGAATTTCTAAGAAATTACAGGAAATGTCAGTGAAATCCGAAAAATTTTATGAAAATTTTGTGGAATTTCAGGATATTTAAGTGGTGAAGTTTTGGGAAATTTCAGTAGAGTTTTAAAAAAATTATGGAATTTGGAATTTCTATAGAATTTTGGTGAATTTCAGTGGGATTTCGAAAAAATAAAAAAAAATATGAAATATTCGCAGAATTTCCATCAAATTATATGTGTATAATTTCACTTTGTGTCGACTTACATAAAATTTCGATGAAATATCGAGTAAAATTCCAAAGAATTCTCGTCGAATTACATACATGGAATTCCTTGAAATCTTATTGTGGAATTCTAGTAGTGAAATTATATGGAATCCGAAGAATTCCCTTGGAATTAAACAAAATTTCCATGGAATTTTCATGGAACCATGAGAAATTTCGGCGGAATTCCGAAGAATTGAATTAAATTTTAGTGAAATTCTGAGTAATTTCTGTCGAATTACATAAAATTTTAGTGGAATTCCGAGAAATTTCATGAAATATTTTACTGTAATTCCGAGGAATTTTTGTACAAGAATTCCATTGAATTTTATGGTGGAATTCCATGGAATCTTATGGTGAAGTTAGGAAAAATATTATGAAATCTTATGGTAAAATTTTTGGGACTTTCTGTTTTTCTATTTGAATTTTTCATTTGAATGGAAATTCGAGGAATTCTATAAAATCTTCTAGTGAAATTTTACGGAATTTCTATGGAATTACCAAAAATTTTCGCAGAATTCCCATGGAATAATTTGAAATTTTAGTGGAATGCCGAAGAATTTCATGAAATCTCATAAGTAGTGTAATTCCGAGGAATTTTTGTCTAAGAATTCCATTGAATTTTATGGTGGAATTCCATAGAATCATATGATGAAATTCGGAAAAGTATTATAAAATCCTATAGTAAAATGTCTGGGAATTTCCTTTTCTCAATTCAAATTTGTCATTTGAATTAAGAATCTCTAAAAACTTTTTAAAAACCCCTAAAAGGATCCAGAATAACTTAAAATTTTTAAAATCTAAAATTTTCTGAACTCCTGTAAAATTGTGTAAAGATTTTCAAAATTCCCAAAGTCCTACAAAATCAATTAGGATTTAAATATGTGTTCATTATTTTATAGAGTTAACTAAACCTCGGAGCGGTTGATTGGTCAAAATCTGTGTACAGTCCAGAAAAATTTGTAGATAGATAATAGGTATATATATTTAAAATCCCTGAAAATCTTTAAAAATTTAACAAAATCTCACAAAATCCCTTAAAAATCACTTGAAATTGAATAAAATTTCACAAAATCACACAACATTTGTATACAAGTTGGACAAAATCCCCAAAAAAACTTGTAAGATCTATTTAAAATCCCTGAAAAATCTTCAAAATCTTTAAAAACCTAACAAAATTTTATTAGAACAAAAAAAATTTGGCAAAATCCTATAAAATTCCTAATAAAAAAATTCCTTTAACATTTCCAAAAATCCTTTGGGATCCCCAAAAATCCGTTAAATTCTCTAAAAATCCTTTAGGATCTCTAAAAATCCTTCTAACTTCCCTAAAATGCTTCAAAATCACCTAAAATCTTTTAAAATCTTGTAAAATCATATGAAGATTTTTAAAATCTTCAAAATCCTACAAAATCTATGAAGATATAAAAATCTGTGTACATATTTCAAGGAGTTAACCACCCCTCGGTAGTTTTCGGAGTCTTACATTCTGTAATTTTGAAAAACCATGCTTCAAACTTTTTAGAATCTTCAAAATCTTTATCCTTTAGTGTACCTAATATCTTCCAAATCTTTAGTCTTGCCGGAAATCTGTAATCAGAACAAGTTGAAGAAATGTATCTCAGGGATTGATAATAACTCAGTAGTTCACATCCAAAAAGTCTCCAGAATCTTTAAATTTCAGTCTTTATTCGTTTTCAGAGTCGTACATTCTGTTATCTGGAAAAATCATGCTTCAGATCTTTTAGAATCTTCAAATCTCTGGTCTCGGGTGTAATCATTAGTCTCTAAATAGAATCTCACCTGAAAAGATTGTAAAAATTGATGAAAATGAGGAGATATAAATCTAATGAGAAAACGATAATGAAAAAGGCAGAATTTCATGAGAATTTTCATGGTCGCAAGTACTAAAGTCATGAAGAAATCCGTTTCATATGATAAGCAGTTGCTCCATGATTTTCATAGACATCTTATTGTATTTTTGGGATAATGATTAGATGAGATGATATAATTTCTGATCTGATCAGTCCTTTTGCCCATTTTTGAAGAGCAGAACTATGAGACTATGATTTCTATATGGTATTTTCATCTTTTAGCATTCCGCCTAGCAATTTTTGAAAAAAAATCGTAGCAATTCTCAGATAGAATAAAGTAAAAACGATATTTGCTTTGTCACACTTTCACTACGCGGCTTTAGCTCCTATGATCACACCTGAACGAGTATTACCTCTAATTTAACCCAATTATATGCTTAATTTCAAATTCTCGGAAACTGTCGCCATTATTCTACACGGCAGTGTAATTATCGACGTTTATGACGTCATTCCAAGTGTACAATACTTTGTTATTTGCATCGCGATGACGATATTTAGAAGTAAACAATTACCAATTATTTCGTGTATACGAATTCAAGGAATTAAAAATTTAGTTACCATATAATCCATGACGATTCCTTCATCCGAACCGGAACTGAACGAATTGATGGGCGAGTTACTTGGTGGTGGTGACGGTGTGGAACGGAATGAAGCTGAACTGCTACTACTACTCCCAGGAGATGTACTGATATAAGAAAAGGCTGAAACAAAGAGAAAATTCAAATAATTTTTTTTTTAATTGTACGCACGCTATACATCTTTTTAACCTTGAGGGCCGCACATGTTCGGCAAAAACCACTTTAATGACCTGCACGAGCTGCACTTTTTTTAATTTGTTTAACCATGTAATTACAGAAATTGCGTAACAATTTACGAGCTTATAACACATTTTAGTGTTTTGTTGACTTTTAGAGTCTTAGTGATGAAATCCAAGTGGTTAGTGCATGTAGGGTTGAAATTCCAGTGACATACAGAAAAATGAAGCTTGATATTGTTTAACAATAATTTATTATATAAAGGGGCAAAAGAAACGTCCATTGAATCATAATGCAAAACACGTGATCGAGTTTCTATACTACAACAAAAAAAAAACGTCCCGCATATATAAAATGTTGCCGCCAAACGGTCTTCCAAGTTCCTCAAGTCCAATGAACTTCGTCTTCTTTTGTTATGTATTTTATTGAATTAGTCACCTACGCGCATAATATCGGATTGAAAAAGTTAATTGACCCTTATGATTGACTAAACGCTGCTGGTGAGTTTTGATTAACGGACAAATTGAAACGATATCCTATATTGAACAAAAGCCGTGCCGAATTTGTGTGGATTCGTTAGTCCATACCCCAGAGTTTAATTTCATTCATGTATTCGAGGCAGAATAAAGTTATTGACCTTTATTGTTGGACACGTAATATCAGGATGTTGTTTTCGATTTTCTACTATCCATGTTCCAGAGTATTTATTGGAAATGGTGGATTGAAGGTATTTATCTCAACAATTGATAATGAAACCAGAACTAAAAGTCAAATAAAAGGATGCGCCAAACAGGTTCGAAAAACCCAATTTTGTGCTGCGCAGTATGTAGAATATTTTCAAAACCGGTCCACGTATCGGCCTCAATGAATGAAATATTCAACGTCTATAAAAATTCAGGTTAAACATACAAACACTCAAAGATAAATTCGCCAAAACAACCAATGGAAAGTGTCTGCGACACCTAGACACAAATTCCTACAACGGTCTAGTTGCTATATCTTCACGCCATTATTACTTAAGTAAACTGGTTTTAGTGATATTTGTGTCAAACGATTGCGACATTAGTATTCTTTTAAACAGTTGACAATGCAAATTACAAAAATGTAACTAATGTATAGGTATTTCCTAGCCTAGATTGGCTTCTTTGGTCTAATAAGTAAATGTGACCAAGTTGATATCCCAATCAATCAAGTTTATAATGTAAACAAACAAGTGTGTTGTTTGAATAATCACATTAATGATAATGTTTACGCTTGTAAATTTTGTAATTTATTGCCAATAATGATACTAGGAAAAAAACAGTAGAAGTGAGATCTTGAAATTTACAGCTCGGACATTGAAGTTGTGTTGTTTTGCGTTAAATTAGCGTGCAGGATGCCCCACACTTATCGTTAATCATTAATTCTTGTAACTAGGCCACAAGATATGATAATAATTAGTTTATTTTCGGAATTTTGGTATTTTTATCGTCATAATTATTATTATGAAATAAGTAAAAAACAATTTTCCAAATGCTGATGGAGTCGTCAACGTAAAATAAGTCAAACAAAGAATAAACGAATTAAAGACCAAAGTAGGTACAGGGTATTTGATTATATTTAAACCCATACCTACAGCCTTTACTATTTAATTTTAAATACAAAACTTGACAATTGAGGGGGCAACTCTCCTAGTTACCGCAGCTAACCGAACCTCTAGGGACTGGCTGCTCAGGGAATTACCTAGTCTAAGGGCCGGTATTTCAATGTTACCCTTAAATCAAGACTTACCCAAAGTACCCTTAACTTTAAGGTGAACTTAAAATCAGTTCATTAGGGTGGCTTAAGATCCACCTTGAACTAAGGGAACTTTGATATACGGTGAAAATTGTATCGAGGATAACTTAACGTTATTCTGTACCAAGGTGACATTGAAATACCGGCGCTAAAACCCTGGGGCAACGAAGTCACACCTGTCGCGGTGGATCCGGCCAGGTACAGGCTCAAAAAAGCCTGGATTCCCGGGAAAAAAACACAGACCCAACGAGGAAATACTCAAGACCCTGGAGAAACAGAATCCTGGAATCGACTGTAACCGTTGAAGAGTGTGGGAGAGACGGGAGGACCAAAACAAACTCCGACTCGTCATGGACTTGGATGACACATCCATAGCCCACCTCAATAAGGCTGAAAACTACAGCGCCATGAGGGCTCAGGTCACGCTGAAATCCGCAACCCAACAGGAAACCCCAAAGGAGGCACCCAGCACGGCAAAGAACCTGACCGAACTCGAGCCAGAAGGGAAATCCCCAGAACATTAGGAACCTGAGCAGGAACAGAATATGGACTTGCCAAATTTGAGATGTCAGGGAACCCATAAACGCCACTCATCAAAAAACCGAACACGAACAGGAGATAGACCTGCATCGGGGGCAGGAGGAGGAGAACAGAGAATGCCTGTAAACTTCATACAGATCAATTTACAGCATGGGAGGGCCTCCTCGACAATTCTTTGCAGGAAAATAGCCTTGGCAAACGCATGTGTAGCACTGATCCAAGAACCCTGGGTTTACAGGGGTGCGGTCAGGGGCCTAGGAGGAGGCGGGGGAACAGTCTATTAATGCATATCCGCCGAAAGATCCAGGATCTGGTTGCGGTAAAAATCTCCATAGATGCCGAGGGTCAAGAAACGAATTTAGTCATATGCTCTGCTTACTTTCCCCAGAACGTGACCAGTCCCCCTGGATGATTACTAGATTCCTCATTAAGAGTCATAGACTGAGGGTATTTGGAGTTACCCTTTTTAGAGTTCACAAAATTCCAAAAAGACTTTTTTCTACTACCGTGCGTAAAGTACTTGCTTTACGCACTATTCAGAAGACGTAAAATTTCATTTCACGCATTAGTGCGTAAAGTAATCCACTTCACACACTAGTGCGTGAAGTAATGTCAATGACAGATGTCGAGACTGTCAATTTAGTATTTTTCTGGTAAATTAGGTACTTCACGCACTAGTGCGTAAAGTGTAAATAATTCGAGCACTAGTGCGTAAAGTGTAAATAATTCACGCACTAGTGCGTAAAGTGTCTGTCTAAATCTATTTTTTTACACATATTTGATTGGTAGTAGAAAAAAATTTGTATGCGATACGTGCGTAAAGTACCTTTTTTCACTCATGTGATTGTCAAAATTCACATTCGTGAAAAAAGGTTCACTTTACACACTTGTTGCATAGCTCCCATAGATTTAATATAACTTTGATGACATATCTCTACAATGGCCGAGTTCGTTTTTGTCATCCTTTTCGTCGATTTTCTCCGAATCTTGAATTGAGAAGCACGTGACTGGATAAGACAGTTTCAATTTACAAATCACGTGCCTGTCAAAATTTCGGAGCAAATCGACGAAAAAGATGAATGACAAAAAGGAACTCGGCCAATGTTGCCTTAAATTTGAAAAAAACAGCATAGTCCTGAAGAGATTGTGAAGCTTTAAATATCTTGTGTGCCTTTTTTTTCTGCAAAATTAGATCTTTCAACTCATTATTCATCCATTTAGGGAATTTGGGTGTCGTAAATCTACACATGGGAACAAATGAGTTAACCGCATGTCATAAAATTCCGAAACCACCAATTCCAAATCAGTACACTCAGAAACAAAGGACCAATTAACAGTAGCCAGAAAACAATTAAGATAACGATAATTTGCACATTTGAAAATCACAGATGGAAACATTAATATTCATATGGTTAGAAAACAAAAAATCTAGAAAATTACCATATTTATTTGGAATCTGGATATTCTGATACAATCCCAGGTATGCAACACAGTCACAGATCGCCGAAAATTCCATGGAGAGATTTCCAGCTGGTAGTGTTCCATTTTCATCATTCACCCATCTTTGGAAGTTTGAAATCACCCCAAAGAAAAATATCTATGAAGGCGTTCTCGTCCACCAAGTGCATAACCGAGAGACCAAGAGCCTCATAGACATCCACACCTGAGACACCAGGGATATATGCAATCCCAACCAACATTTCCTTGTTATCGACACCACTGTTAACTGGAGTGATTAGTTGACGACATGAAAGTGAGCGCCTGAACGCAATAAGAACACCACCCTGAGACAAGCAAGTGCTGTTTTTTTCTGATCTGTCACATCTAAAGATCAAGTACAGGCACTTTCCAAAATCCACCGGTTTCTGAACCGGGCGATACCGGTTAAGGAGTTTACTCATCAAACCGTTCCAAAATGTACCGACTTTTTACCGCTTGAACCAGATCGTCCGTTCCAAAATTGACCGGAATGATCAGCTGTTTGAAACCGGTGAGACACCGGATCCACCGGGAATTTTTGTCGGTTTTTTCGGTTGGAGATTTTTTGACACACTTTTTTTGACGTATACCAAATGCTTTGAATGGGCACTATCGGCAGTTGTTCGTTAAATTGTCGCAACACAACCGTCACAACCAAACTTTAACACACCAAAGCGTTTCAAAATGCATCAGAAAAATCATGTAACCGGACTTACACCTAACTTTTACCAGAACTTTTTGACAGCTACCGGTTTATTTAACCGGTCAATTTATCGGTGAAATTTGGAAAGTGCCCTATCCATCAAGGCCAAGTTCACCTGTTAATACTGAAATGTCAAGAAAGGTTTCAGTCAACAGTATCACATCATAATTCTCTGTAACAACACTACACATTAAAGCTTGCAATTTAGATTTTATTCCTCTAACATTTTGATAGTAAAATGCTAAAGTGTTGCTGTCATTGTTTGCTGGTTGGGAAAATTTGCAGAGCCTTTGTGGTTGGGCCTTCTGCCTGCTACGATATACAAAAGGCCGAAAAATGGTGTTGAGTGGCCAGAAATCAACCTTGTCGAGCAAGTCATAGAATGTCTCACAAACTCCAACCTTGAAACTTCTAGAGTTTGCTTTAGTGGGCAATTCCTCCACGACCAATAATAGCCTTTTGTCAGATATTTTGGCCTTTTCTTCAACATATTTAAAAATTGTTTATGATGTTGCCCCACTATCAACATGTCCCAAAAACAGCCATTTCTTACCATATAGGTACTCCTCGAAAAAAAACCCCTGAAGAGGCTGCTGCCGCTGCTGTGCCTTTGCCCTTTGCTAACTGGTTCCCTATTGCTAAGCGTTTGAGTGGGCTGGTTTTGCCCTGTCAGATTTGGATCTGTATAGTTAGATAAAACTGTCTGTACCATTGCATTATCCACAGCTCTTTGAACTTGACTATTGGTGATGACATAGCTATCAATGCTATCATCCCTCACAATTTTGTCATTATTATGGAGAGAGTGAGAAAGTGAGAACTTGTTGACCGCTGAGTCTGTGGTACAAAAAGTTTGTTTTTATTTTTGTTTTGATTTGGCGATTTTCTAGGGTTATGTTGAGATGATCCGATTCCTTTATTTTTATTATTGTTTGGCCTCATATCCTTGCTCATAGCAAACCTGACAGAATCGGCTGATTATCTTACAGCTGCAGGCCGGGTTGCAAAATTCAATGACGACGTCGAAGGTTGAGGAGATGAGGGGGGTTTGTTTACATTTTGTTTTTCTTTCAAAATACGGATTTCTTCACACAATCTTCGATTTTTAGCTTCAATATCCCAAATTCGACCATTCAGAAGTTCATGATTTTCCATCATAGTCAGCACTAAGCGATTCAGTTTTTCATTTTCTCTCAACAGGATGTTTTTAATGGCGTCATCGTCGATTTTTGGTGCGCACAATGGATATAAAATTTGCCCGATTCCGAGGGTTTCCGCACCCTTAACTCGGACCAAATATGCTGTTTGGTAGGTAGTGCCGGGAACACTTATCACACGGTTTTCACATTTCTTTTGAAATGATCACACACTATTTTTGCATTTTGACTATCGAAAAAAACTTCAAACAGTGGACAGAGTGGAGGACGCGCTGGACCGAGGACAGACCACCATGGGAGGCTACTTAGACATTGAAGACACGTCTTCCGAATCGATATGCCTAGCAGTGAGTAGACATGGCAGTCATCACACAATAGTGAGATGGATCAAAGCCATGCTGTCAAGACGCACAGTCAGAGCAACAGTCAACAACAATTCCGCAGAGGTCGATGTAGCCACTACTGGTTTCTGGTGGTGGACGGAGTTCTGCTTGACTTGAGCACATAGCGTTTCACTACACTTAAGCCTATGCTAACGATCTGGTTATTCCTATCAAGGTCCGGATCGCGGAACGACTGAGTGGACCAATGACACATGCTGTTTGAACGCTGGTGCCAAATGGAGGGCCTGAATGTCAACCCAGACAAGGCTGGAATAGTTATTTTCAATAGGAAAAGCAGGCTTGGGCAAATGCCTGAGGTTAACCTTCTTAATCACAAGCTCAAATGCTCCGAGTCAACGAAATATCTTGAAATCATAAAAGACAGACACGGAGAGAACTTCTTAGCAGCAATATGAAGAAAGCCAATAATGCCCTATGGGCATGTAAAAGGGATTTCAGGGATTATCCGACCCATTATCACTTATGGTGCCATCGTCTGGTGACTTGCTACAAAGACGGTTAGGACTAGGGCACTACTAGACAGTTTTCAAAGGCTTGCCTGTATTGAGACAACAGGCTGGTCGGGTTGCCACCGCTCCATCTGTTTCTGGAAAATGAAGCCTTGAGATCAGCATACAGGCTGCAAGGACTTGGTCATCTGAGGTCCAACAACTATCCTCGGGGATACATACGCATATGGAGCGAAACGACACTGCGTTGCCCAGCTCTACTAATGAAAATGAACAGAACAGACAAAACGAGGTGAATCTCATCTGGGTACTGAGACACTCTGATGTCCCGGGTTCAGCAGATTTAGCAATGGGTCCAGAGCCGGTGATAGGCTTACCATACTCGACAGCGGAAAGAAGAGATGACCCGCAAGTCCGAGGAGCTCTGGAGAGGTTGCATGGGAATGAGACAGGAGACAGGCCAAACTCCTATAATGGGAACCTGGCAACCCAGCAGACATCTGAGCCTGATGGGGATCGTAGAAGACCCCGAGTGTAGATTCTGTCTGGAGGATGAGGAAATCTCTATCTATGTCCTTGCCGAATGTTCAGCAATTAGAACCGTGTACCTTGGCAGCTATATGATTGATCCAGGAAACATAGGAAAGATCAGGCCCCGTGAGCAACAATGACAAACACAGACGAATACGAAACGACTACACCCTAAAAAGTGGAACTTATGGAAAGAGTAGCATGAACATCAGTTTAATGAAAAATCAAGGAATAAATCATAAATTGGATACTGGGAAGTACATCACACAGCAAAAGATGCTCTTATTCAAAATTGGAGACCATTTGACCAAAAAATGGTCAAAAGGCACAAATTCAACAGGCGATTTCCATGTCGCCTCTGACAATAATTATTTCAATTCAACTTCTGCCAACTAAACTTTCAAGTGTAATTGCAGGTACCTGCATAATTTCTCCGCAACCTTTACACAACCCAAAACGCAATTAAGATAATCCGAAACAATGTCGAGAGCTCAATTATGCACTGGTAAATTTCCTGGATAATTCGTTGTTCGTATAGAATTTAATTCGAATAATTTCGAATGACATTGTTTTATCCAACCTTCGCAGAGTCCAATTTGACATTAAAACCACGAGCCAATCCTTTAGGAGGGAGAGCGAAAATAGATTCGTCGATATAGTACGCAACAAAATAAAATGATGTAACTTCCGTGCATTCCCTCTAAATGATGCAGTTATAAATAATTCACTTACACGTGGAGCCTTCGTCCAAGGATTTGTCAATAAATTAAATAATATTTGTCAATAAAACACAGCCTGGTGTCTCATTGGATTGGTAATTTTCTGGAATTTGTCTACTAGACTACAATAGGAACGTTTGCTTGCATAAAACAATTTTCCTGGGAGTGATAAAAATGTACACACATGTTGTGTGTCTCCCACTTAAATTTTTTATCCTTTTGTTGACGATTATGACTCTGCTATTCCAGGGATTAATTTACTACTGCGAAATGTGTTAGTGAACTTATATGTGTGGCGTAGTTTATGTTGTGTGAGGTAATAAAGTGATATGGTATTTTGTAATTGAGGTCTACGACTTATTGTTTGTTGTGATTATTGAGTATTTCTGAGTCACTTTGGCTGAAATTGCTGGCAATATTAATCGTATACTGAGAATAAACATAGAAGTGCAACTTTCTTCACAGAATGATAAACAACTTTGAAAGCCAACTGACTTGTATCGAGTCAGTTCGAGTACCTAATACCGCTATTTGAGAACATCTCCAAATCCTAAATGGTTTTAGCATTTTTCTAGTAAAATTGATAAACCTACTTAAATGTCTCATAAACAATGAAACAAAAACTTGTAAAGAAAAAAAACTTTTATCATGATTTGATAAACAAACACTCAATTCAAACAAAGCAAAATTCTAGACAAAGCGACTAGGTACCTTATTTTATAAGAATCATATGAAACATGCAACAAATTGGTTTGTATTAATTATACAACGTCAATAATTGCATAATTTGCAATGATTATTATGATCAAAATTTGTGTAATAAAGCCGCCATGTGCTTTTATCGATATCCATCTTTGCGACAAGCTGGGAAATTGCATGCAAACTAGTGCAACGTCGACCCTGATGCAACGAGCCAGGCTGCTCTAAATTTTGCCCCGGCACCGGCGAAAAGCGACACGTGTTTGACTTTGAACGGACGTTTGCTTTGTTATTCGCCCCGTGCCACAATTTACGTCCCAGTTTTTTTTTTATCAATCTTTAATCGATAGTTTCCTTTGATAATGATCTTTTGCGTTGCAGATTTGTCGAGCATGTATCTACTCCTAATTCTGACAACATCGATCGGCAAAAAATCTAATACCGTGAAAAGTTTATCATGTGCCTATCAGAAACGATGATCAATTGCCCAAAAAGTTGAATCCCCTATATAAAAGACCGAAAAACTAATATGAACTTTGGAATTTCACACTATATTTCTTGCACAAATTGTTGCTCATTGCAGATAACACGTGCAATTTCCTAATGCAATATTTCCTTTGTCCCTTCGGATTAGTCAGTTATTGGGGCGAGGTTAGCGATTTATTTTAACCCGTATTAGTCAGTTTTGTTCAAGGAAAACCGTATTGTCTTTGTGTACGAGGAGATTCCAAATTTGTTCAAGGATTATATTTTTCTATGCGCGACTTACCATTTTGAGGTGAACACGAAAGGCTCATTAAAACTAATGCGGCACTACACTCGTCCATCGCTGTTTTCGGACGAAGGTTGTCGTCTTGGCTAGTGCTCGGTCTCCTTTTACGCGAACTGAAACAGAAAATTAATTTTTAGACGATTCAATATTAAACTCTAAATGACAATGATTATTTTAAGTAGGTAATAATTAAGTATGTATTTCAAAAGAAAAAAAATATGTATTACAGGAGAAAATTTCCTTGACAAGGAAGAAAATCCATATCTACAGAGAATTATAGATAGATGGTCTGAAGGATTTGGGGTCAGTCCCATCCTTCTTGCCTGCCTCAGGAATGCTGCTTAAGTGGAAGAAGATAAAGATCAACTTAATCTGCTAATCAATTACGTTAGTCATACTATTTTTGAACATATAAATGAATGCGTCAATTATGAAGATGCGAATAATAGTTTGAAAAACATAATATGTCAAGCCAAAGAATGAGATATTTGCCAGACACTCATTATCGTCAAGAAAACAACAAGTTGGTGAGTCTATAGATCAATATTAACAAGCTCTGAAGCTCATGAGCATGATGCAGATCAAAATAGGGACAATTACATCAGAGATACTTTCATTACTGGTCTTACTTCTTCTCGTATAAGACAGAGGCTTTTGGAACATTGTACTTTGAGCTTAACACAAGCATTTGATACTGCTAGAGGACTTGAAATGGCTCAGCAACTTTCCGAATCTTATCTTACACATTTCTGTTCCAATATGAATGCTGCGATCTCTCATCAAACTCCTGACAATTCTTCTTCGAATGTACAGATCGAAAATGACCATGTTATAGCAGCTGTCGCTTCTAAATGCTATTTTTGTGGTAGATCTAGACATGCCAGAGATAGATGTCCAGCGAAAAATTCTTTGTTACAACTGCGGAAAGAAAGGTCATTTCACCCAGGTCTGTCAATCGAAAAATCAAAAGCCCCATTCTACTAAGATAACAACTGCTGCTCTTTTGATGGGGATATCTGGAATTACTTCTCCTGTCAGTTTATCAGAAGCCCTAATCGAAATGCAAATCAATGGATTTATGGTCAAGGCATTGGTCGTTACAGGAAGTTCGGATAGTTATATTTCCGGTACAGTTGTAAAAGAAAAACAGATGAAAATTTTTCCTACAACACTAAATGTTACAATGGCATCTTCAAATTTTAACTCTTTGGTACGTGGATTTTGCAAATTGACAATATTTATAAAAATACCGGACTTTACATTCTAGAAGAACTATGTGCTAATATTATAATTGGACATGATATTCTCAAACAACATTCAGGAGTAGAATTCAGTTTCGGGGAAGCAAACCACCTATCTCCATATGTAATTTAATTATCGCTAAGGTAGAACCATATCCATTATTCGAACATTTGGCAGAAAATTGTAAGCCTATTGCAATGAAATCTCGCAAATAATCCACAGTTGATTTAAAATTCATTGAAGCTGAAGTGCAAAGACTTTTAGAAAAGAAAATAATCGAGTCAAGCAATTCCCTGTGGAAAGTCCAGGTCCTAGTGACTAGTAATGAAAATCATAGGATCATCATCAATAGATGCATAGGATCATCATCAATAGATACACATTTGGATGCATACCCGTTACCCAGGATTGAAGCTATGTTCAACCAAATTTCTTAGTATGAATATTTCAGTTCGATAGATCTTCATAGTGCATATCACCACATACCAATTCTAGAGCATGAACGTATATACACTGCCTTTGAAGCATGTGGAAAATGGAAATCTATACCAATTCACTCGAATTCTTTTTGGAGTGACTAATGGCGATGCTTGTTTTCAGAGAAATATAAATAACATTACCAAACAAGAACATTTAGAAGACACATAACTATGCATTTCTTGACGACGTAACCATCTGTGGTAAAAATAAAGAACATCATGATACAAATCTTAAACGATTTTGTTAAGAAATATAATCTGACGCTTAAGAAAGAGAAATGCAACTTTGGCATGAGTAAAATTAATATACTAGGGCATACAATAGGACGAAAATCAATCAAGCCAGATATGGACGTGGACGTGGAAAATCCTCTTAATACTTGCTTTGAATCATATAACTTTTCTCAACTTCTTCAAGAGGCTACGAGAGTAACTAACAGCACCAGTAAGTTGCTTGATCCCATTTTTGTTACAAATACTGATATTATTGTGAGTAAGGGTACTATACCTGTAGGGAATATATCTGATCATCTAATGACATTTTGTGAACTTCGCATTAAAAAACCAAGAGTCAAACCAAAATTCATTAAATACCGTTGTTTTAAAAACTTTAATTTAGAAATCTTTTTAACAGATCTACAAACTTTGCAGTGGGATAATATTTATTATGAAAATAATATTGAAAATAAGATCGCTATGATGAATAAATTCATCCTTGACACTTTTGATGAACACGCTCCAATTAGGGAAGCTAAAGTAACAAAACCGAAAGCTCCATGGTTAACACAAAATGTAAAAAATTTTATGAAGCAACGGGACATGGCCCTTCAAAGGTTCAAGAAATATCGCACAAGTGATAATTGGGTGAATTATAAACGTTTGAGAAATTTTACAGTTAGCGCGGTTAGAAGGGCGAAAAAAGAGTATCTAGATATGATATCGAGTGAGAACAATTCTAGGAAAACTTGGGACACGCTTAGGAATTTAAATGTGAGGTCTGATAAATCAATTACTATTCCTGAACACTTGTCAGGTGCAAATGAACTAAATAATTTTTTCGCAGAGTTTTTGCAAAATGATTCTGATTTTAAGTGTCAAGATAAAATAGATTTTTATTTAACTAATAGAGTCATAAATAACAGCTTTTCATTTCAACTTGCAACTATATCACAGGTACATAAAATATTGCATGATATAGGAACCAATGCTGTGGGTTTGGATGGAATCTCGGCAGCGATGTTGAAATACTGCAGTCCTTATATTGATATATATATTTTGCATATAATCAACTGCTCTATTGAATCTAATTACTTTCCTGACCTGTGGAAAACTTCCATTGGTAAACCTCTACCTAAAAAACCTAATCCAAATTTGTATAGCGATCTTAGAGTTATAAGTATTTTGCCGGCGGTTTCTAAGATTTTTGAGAAGGTATTATATTTGCAAATTTACAATTTTGTAACAATCAATAAAATTTTACCGGATACTCAGTGTGGTTTTCGGAAAGGATATAGTACTTCTGTGGCTTTAACAAATGTTGTTGATGATGTTATTAAGGCAAGGGACAATGGTCAGGATTGTGTGCTGGTGCTGTTGGATTATTCAAAAGCATTTGATACGATAAATCACCAACTGATGTGTAGCAAATTGAAATATTTTGGATTTGATGACCAATCATTCAACCTAATCAATTCATATTTAGGTTCCAGGAAACAAAAAATATTTAGTAACAATGGTTTTTCTGATGAAGCAAATATAATTTCAGGTGTCCCTCAGGGTTCAATTCTAGGTCCCTTATTATTTTTAATATATACTTCGGATATTCTGAGGGCTCTAAATTATTGTAATGTACAGGCTTATGCGGACGATACACAAATTTACTACCCATTCGATTACACAAATTTTCTGCAAGCGGCTGAACATATGAATTCTGATTTAAAAATTATTTCTCAACTGTCTGAAGAGCACAATCTTAAAATTAATCCCTCAAAGTCGTGCGCTGTACTTTTTGGAAATAAAAATCACATTGACTTCCTCAAGGCTAATTTTATTATTAATATAAATAATGAACCAATAGAATTTGTAACTGAGGCAAAAAATTTAGGGATTATTATGGATAGCGAACTAAGATTTGCAGAGTATGTTAAGAAGGTCCTACAAAAATCGTTTTTTAGCATGAAGCTGTTATACTCAAATAGGCACATTCTCAACTTTCGCTTAAAAAAAATGCTTTGTGAGTCGTTAGTCTTATCGAATTTTAACTATGGTGATTTTGTGTATGGACCGTGTTTGGATGCTGTCAGTAAAAATCGAATTCAAATGATACAGAATAATTGCTCCAGGTTTATTTGTAATTTGCGTAAATACGATCATATTTCCCATACATTCAAGGATTTAAATTGGCTTAGAATGGAAAATCGACGTTTGCACCATCTGGGTTGCTTTATTTATAAAATATTAAGCGAAACTGATGCAGTGATCTCCCTTAGAAATAAGTTTGTGAAACGAGGTAATGTTCATGCTGTAAACATTCGCTCCACAGAAAAAATGACTATGCCACTCCATCGGACTGCCCTTTTTCAGCGAAGTTTCACATATAATGCTGTTAAGCTGGTTAACTCTTTGCCTAGTCAGCTGCTAAATATAAATGTAGAGAAGTTCAGGTTAGAATATAAAAGATATCTTATTAGTCAACAAAATTTACAATATCTGTAGATTCAAACATGCATCAAAATATCTAGGTGACCAATAAATAGGTATCTTCAGCAGACCAAAGTAATTCTTGTCTTTAATTTCATTCATTCATTAATTTTGCAGATATAGGTGTATGGATAATAGTGTATGAGGCCTTTTGTTTTTGTTTTTTTATTCATTCTTTGTAATATTTTTCACTAGGCTGTTTTTGAAGGTTAAGTAGAATAGCAACATTGCTAGACTTCGCCTTCACTGACGGCTAAATTTATTGTTATATAAGAATATTGTACTTTTCTTTTGTTTTGAATAAAGTCGATTTATTATTATTATTATTATTATTATATAGACAGACTTAAACCACTGATTCAGTTGCCACTACCTATTAATACTACTTCGCTCAGGAGAGTTCCAGGCATGTTTGCTCATAATTCCAAATTCATTCATAAGTTTTCTGAGAAAATATATCCACTGATTCGATTTAAAAAGTTTCCATTGTCTGCTTGTGAAGCTGCTGCATTTGAACAGTTGAAGACTGATATACAAAACTCTGTTGTTATTTCCATTGACGATTGAGCCACTTTTACTGTTGAAACGCATCGGAATATGCTATTGCTGCTCAATTTATACAGTCTGGAAAACCAGTGACGTTTTTCTCTAGAATATTGACGAAATCGGAACAGCGACATTCTTCTGTAGAA